ACGAGTTTTATAAACCTGTCACCAAAATGCGTTGCTCAGACTCGAAATATAACGTTACTCACATCCAGTAACGGATTGGAAACAGCAATTGGAAGCTACTTAAAGACTCCCGTCAGTCCCATTGCAGAGCTAATGCAGAGGCCAATCATAAGGCAGAACAACATTCCCAAACATAATATATATATTCGGGGAGATGAGTTGCCAAATATTATACTTGAGGCAGAGCAGTTTGACCAAGATATATCAGAACACACGTGGAAAACCATTGCTAACCATCAGTGGATTTCTCATTTAACCACGGGACTAGTCACTTTATTCATTGTTATGTTGATTGCCATTACGTGGAAGGTAGTCAGATATTTTCGAAACTCCAAGAGAGCCAGAAAACAAAGGCATCAAGGTTCTTACATCCAACCTCATCCAGCGCCTCGAAGACATACTTCATCACAACCAAATTTAGGTAGTACTTTAAACAAAGCCCCTCCTAGATCAATTTCACTTAATGAGCTTAGATTTGAATTAGATAGTTTAGCTGAAACATGAATTCTAAATAATGAAATTATAGGTAGCACTGCTCGGGTGAGATAATAATTCAAAAACCGAGTGAATTAGTGTTATGTTTATTATTATTATTATTATTTATATTTTATATGTGTTTAAATATTTTCGTCTGTTTGGTTTATATAGTGGCCAATATGTTCAATCACAAATTAACCCCTTAATTTGTAATCTCACATTATTCTTAACTTCTTAATCTTTTATAGTTTCACCGTTTATAAGTTTGCATTATATATATTGCAAAACCATATCGTATGATAATTTAATATTAGTTCATTTACCTACAACTAAATAAATTGCCGAATAATAATATTTTCTAATTAAACTTCCTAAGTATCGCAATTAAAGCGTAGATTAAATTGTATTATAAGCAAAAGCTAGGTGGTGTGATATGAACGAAGCAATGACCTAAGGTGCTTATGTATCTATTATGTGTGAGATTATAAATTGGGGATTTGAGTTCAAATGGACACAGTCAATATTGAGTAGTTACCGAACGAACACCATATTGTGTAATTACGAGTTGCTGTCAATAAATCATCACTTTTACTCCGCAACTTCAACCTTTTATTATACCTATCAGCATCGATCGACGAGAATCGGACAAAGGGGCATTCACGAACCGAACCGAACTTCACTACTAAGTCCGATATTTTTCCAAACACAGAGAGCAAAACTTAAGTGGAAGTTCGCTGGACATACCATAAGACAGAAAGACGACAGATGGAATAACATAACTATAAACTGGAGACCATATAGTTACAAATCAAAACAAGAAAGGCCAAAAATGAGATGGTCAGATGACTTGAAGAAACAAAATCCGAAGTGGATACAAACTGCCTACAATAGAGAGACGTGGAAGAAGGAAGAGGAGGCCTATGTCCAAAATTGGACAGCAAGGGCTGTATAGATAAATAGAGATAATGCGTGGAATCCGACGAATTAAACAATCTATGAAATTACTGGAATCCACGGTTACTTGATAAAAATTTATGTTTTTTATAATTTTCTATAGTAGCTACAATATATAGTGTATCAGTTGCAATAGTAAGTAAATTGTTTGTATGAGAACAGTTTGGGCCAACAGCCACTTTAATTCTGAATTGCACTAAATCACTTTAGCATCCACCACAGACACTATCAAATGATTTAGAACATCTTCCAAGTGACATCATTTTATCAAAACTTAGTTAACCTGAAATATGCGTTGATGAATCTCGACTAAGGTAATTTAGGAATAGACATCCAACACATAATTTAACCCTTATCACTTCTTTGACGAAGCTGTTTTGATCTCAGATATCTTGAAGGAACAAAAATATGCCCAAAGAACTTAAAATGTCACATGCAAATAAAGTTCCGTAGAGACGATTTGATGATAAACTTACCTAGCGAATGCATACGAATGAGCTCCATTGGCCAAAACAACCAAATGATGGCCAAGATGATCATCACGTACTTGGTCTTCCTGTTAATCTCCTGTCAATGAGTGATTTCTTTTCACTATTTTTACTACTACTATGTTCTGTTATAAAGTTTATGTGCTGAATTTGCACATTTTGTCTATAACCGATTAGTTTAATTACCTCCATTTTTCATACTTGTCTTCATTTACTGCGCTCTTCATTAAGGTTATTGTTTTCCTCTTCTTTTGATTACTATTATGCAAAATACTCTTATTTCTGGGTCTTCAATTAACTTTAATAAACTGTTATATGTTGTTGTTCATTCAGTTCTCAGCAGTGTCAAATTTGCGAACACCAAAAAAAAATATATATAATATATATAAAAAAATATCATTTGAATGTCCTCGTGAGTCATTCTACTGATTCTCTACCCAGTGGGGAATGATTCCACTTATTCCATCTTTTATCGAGTCACTCATGTTCTAGATTTTAGATCTGCGTTTTATATCTATGCTTCTGGGTCTATCTCTTAGTATTCTTTCGTCAATTCCTTAGATCACTTTTATTTTTGCGGCTTCTAGCATTGCCTTTATTCTTACTACGCTACGTCGGTACTCGTAAATCATTTATCAGCCTAAGCACTGTTTTATAAATTTTGCTTTTAATTTCTTTTCTTGTTCTCTTTATTGTATTTACTTGGTTTTCTACTACTGTCTTAAATCTTCCTTGGCTTAATAGAATAACGTCCAGTTATTTAAAGACCGTATTTAAAGACCGTTTTATCTTTTTTCCCTCAAGCTCGAATTTCCATCTTAGTGGGTTGTTTGACGCAACATCTGTTTTGCATCTTCCTTATAATACGTCTTCGCTTTGGGTCATTAATCACGCATCATCTTCGTAGCATATTTTTTTAAATATTTTTTCTTATCTGGTATGATTTCCTTAGTTTTAATTTTTTGGTAATATCATCCACAATCACGTTAACCATTAGTTAAATAGTCCAATAATCTCCATATATCTCGTCCTAATGCCAACTTCAATTGAAACGGTTATTTCTTCTTATAGTTTTGATTTTCTGATGTGGGCTGTAATTATGTAATCCTTTAATTAGTGATATTTATGTTGAGTTTACGTTCTTTCTGTATAATAAATGAGTGAATCTTTCTCAGTCTGAATCTGCAGAAAGACTTTTTCAGGTCCTCAAACTCGTCTATTTTATTCCAGAGCTTCCTTTTTTTGTTTTCTGGCTATAAAGATGGAGTCGGTACATAATATCATTATCATCAGTGGCATCACAGCTCGATATGAGCCAAAATATTCTTGAGAACAATCCTCCGTTAGTTGCTGCCTTTGACAACTCTTCTTCATGTTCTAACTAATAGATTTTAAATATTTATCTAGGTTGTCTTGATACCTAAGTCTGGGTCTTGCTCTAGCTTGATAATCAGCCCTTTTCATTCAAAAACTTATTTGACTATCGCCTATCGGTACATGATATAAAAGATCTAAAGACTTTTGTTTCCTCTGCTACTTTTATATGTTTAACCAGTTTATTAAAGCGAAGGTTATATACTGGCGCTGTATTACCTTTTTCTCTTCTTCTTCTTTTTATTACTTCTTGTATGTAGGCTTTAAAACCTGTTGCTACTTCCATATTACCTATCCCCTACCACTCTTACTAATGTATTCATTCTACTCGTGTTTCCGTTTTGTCTTTCATCCATTTATGTCTTCTATATTGTATGCTCTTCTTATGTTTTCTTGTGTTTGTTCTTCCAGATTGTGTCATTAAATCGATGCTGCGGTGTCTGCATAACATAATATTTGGATCTCTTTGTTCCCTATTCTGTAACCATGACCTTTAAGGACTGCTGATATTATTGCGTCAATTATTATATTAAAGAGAAGTGGGCTTAACGAGTCACCATGTCTGACTCCGCTTTGTACTGATATACACTGCGTTAGTTTTCCATTTATCTTTGCGTGCATTCGATTATGGAAGTCGATGTTTTCGATGGTTTGTATAATATTGATTGATATGTTTCTTATCTACAATAGGTGTAAAACATCTTCGACTAGGATGCGATCGAAAGCCTTTGTCAGGTCTATAAAACAGAGATATGCTGGTTTATTGTACTCTATGGCATTTTCTGTGATTTGTCTTAGTAAAAATACGGCGTCTACGTAGGATTTTCTGGGGCTGTTGTTCATTTGATAAAGTTGTTAGTTTATTGATTTTGTTTGGTTACGACTATTGTGGTAAGCTTAAATGCGGTATTCAGTTGGATTATACCTCTATAATTATTGAGGTCTTCTTTATCTCCTTTTTTGAATATTGGTATCAGTACTCCATGCGTCTGGTATCTTGCAGTGCAATATTAGCTTTTGTATAAGTTTTGTCACCTCAAGGGTTATACTTTCTCCTCCGTGTTTTAAAAGCTCGTTGATTATTCCGTCTGATCCTGGCGAGTTTCTATTTTTGAGTGAATTTCTGGCTATCTCTACTTCCTAAAAACAAGGGAGAAAATTCGTATTGGGATAAGACGACAAGTTGAAGACTCTATAATGCCAGAGAGAAAGCAACTGATATGGTACTGACAAATTTAGGGGATGAAAAGTACAAGACTCCCGAAAAAGACTATGGAATGGGTTCCAACAAACCAAAGAACACGAGGAAGAATACAGAAATACAGAAGAAAAGACGTAACGAAGCCAATAGAATTATCAAATATTGTGGAAATTAGGCGTTAGATAACGTCGCACGACATTTTGAAACGAATTATATATATAATTCTGCTAAAATAAAATGCTTTAGAATTTATAGATTTATAGATTTTCTAATATTTACGTTACTTTGCTTGTCATTAAATATTACTAGGTTTTTTATAAGTCAACAATATTTTTGGTAATATAGTAGCTAGTAGTATTAAATCTTATACTATTACACGTTGGGGTTTATTTGATATTTAAACTTTATGTACCTGTAGGTACAAAAGGTTACAGCACATACTGTTAAATAAAATCTAATTTTCTTACCTTTCTAATCTAGCTGTAAGTTTCTCAACTTCACTATTAAGTGCGTGTATTTTCATCTTGTACTCTGCTATTTCTCGTTCGTGCAGTTCCCGTTCCTCTTGCTTTTCCTGTTCAGCGCGATCCCTCTGTTCTCGTAATTGGTTCATCTGCTTCTCCTTGTCGCCGATGGCTTCTTCAAGCGAGGAAAGCGCGCCTTCAGATGAACAGTGATGAGCTTGCATTGCAGACAACCGGGCTCTCGCCATGTCTACTTGGTTGTCTTTCTCCTTTAGAAGATCTTCCAGATTTTCAACCTTAAAAATATATAGTTTTTTTAAAACAGTTTGCGAGATAGATGTAATAAATAAGCTTATTAATACAATTAGTGAGTAATTAGTAGATTAAACAGACAGTTGAAGATACGATGACAAAATGTTAATCTTCATACTAAATATTTTATTTATAATTTTATCTATAAATAACATATGATGCCTGTTTAGCCAGCGTATGTAATGGACAGTTTTGTTATTTACTTGGTGGTTTTTAATGTTTATACGCATCTGATACCCAACTTAGTATTGTTTATGTCTTTATGTATATATTCTTTATTGATACACAATCAAACCTGTTTCAGATTTTTGTGGTCTTGACTTAAGATAACAATAATATGGTATAAAATTGTTGCTGAGAAGATCCTTTTTTACAGGTTTTGGCGTCAATGGCATTTACACCTTGTTTCAGGTAGCTATTAATTGTCAATGCGCACTGGCTCAGGAGACCAACGGCTTTACGTGTCCTCCAAAACACGGTGAAGGCTTATATAATAGCGTTGTAAACCACATAACATTACATCCAAAACGAACTTAGGGATGTCTATAAATATTGTGGAAATATTTCAAAAGTGCTATTGATGGTATATTATTAGAATCATTAACCTCTATTCCCTTTAAGGGTTTTGATATATCTGAATTATAATTGAGACGTAGAAGCTGGAAAGATAGACCTTAATATGAATTACAGCAAGACCAAAAACCATCACAAATACAGATGAAGACATCACAATGAGAATCGGACAAGATGAAATAGAACAAGTTCAGGATTATATATATATATATATATATATATATATATATATATATATATATATATATATTTTGTCAAACTATAAAACTTAATAAAGAGAACCAAACAGCAGAGATAAAGAGACGAGTTTAGCATGGCATGGAAAAAGGCATGGGCGGCATTTGGCAAACTAAGCTACATTCATAAAAATAAAAGATATCCACAGCAACTTACGCTGTGGATAAACGTGGACATTTACAAAAGCAAACATGGACAAAATCATAAAAACCCAAAGAGCAATGGAAAGACAAATGTTGCACATAAGACTAATGGATAAAAAGAGAAACGAGTGGATAAGGGAGAAAACAAAAGTGAGGGATGTTAGACAAGAAGTTGCAAAATTAAAATGGAGTTTTGCCTTACACAATATAAGACAAAAAAAAGACCGATTGAACAAAATTCTTATAAGTTGGAGACCGTGGGAATATAAACGAAGCAGAGGAAGGCCTCAAATGAGATGGGCAGATGATATCAAGAAGCATGTGGGCTCTAGGCCACATGCATGGAGAAGAATGGAAAAGGATTGGGGAGGCCTATGTCCAAAGATGGACCGAAGAAGGCTAATTAGATAGATAGATAGATAATTGAGACATTTCTTAAAAAGTGCAAAATCATACTTTGTAATCCTAACGTCCATGGAGAACTTCATGTATTGCATTGTTCCACCATTACAATCTCTAGATAATTAGTCAGGCAATTGGATTCTACATATTGAGCCTGTATTAGCTTATAGAAACTTTCTAACGCAATCATCCAATAAATATGTAGTGAAAATCAATCTAGCATTACCTCTAGGCTGCAATGGTGCAGTACCTGGGCTGAAGTGGCGTATAATCTCATTGCAGCTTTTATTTTTACACAAGCGAGCCTTTGACACTTGCTTATCTATATTATTGTCGTTTGTTGGGTAATTATTATTATAGTTAATAATAATAATTATTATATTATATAATAATATATAATAATATTATTTTTTCCACACAAGCATATGTAATACACTAGCAGTGTATACATGCTACATAAGTTTCATATCTAGGAAAACTTTGATATATTAAGACCATGAATTAAATTATGAATCCACTTCTATTAGAGAATGGAATAACTATCATTTTACTAGGATCAGGTAGTTAATAAATTTACAGCGTCCTACATGTGGTCAGCATTTGCAATCCTATATTTATGTACTGAAACCGTTTCCATCAATATATCTCCTTTTCTTGTTGTTACATATTCGGATTTTTCTATTTTTGCTCATGTATTATCTAGTTTATGTCTTCATATATAGAAGAAATTAGGCCTCTTAAGTAAGTTAAATTAGGATTGGTTTTTATATCAGTTCGTTCACCATTTGTTTTCATCTGATGGACCTTTTACTACAAATTGAATGTGTTATATTGCCGTAATCTTCTGACAAAACTTTGAACTACATATATATTTTTGGCCAAAAGAATAGCTTTATCCCAATACCGAAGATCAATTCTCCTTTGCGTATTTAATGATTTAAAATTACCATTTAAAAAATACAAAATATTTAGTAGGTACCTATTCTATTTTGACAAATAGTTTTCAAAAGTAAAAAACTAGAATTATAATAACCAAGCAGACAGAAATATATTAGTATACATTTTAGAAATACATTTTAGAATGATATAGGATAGGGGTAATAATGTTCTTCTACCATCAACCATGCAAGAATATTAAGACATTGTTGTTAGTATATTATAGTTGTAGAGCTCTTGTTATGCTTATTTTGTTAATTTTTAGTATAGTTAATAGAATTTAAAGCAGTAGGATTAAATCACAATTCTCGTTAGTTTAATAATTAAAGATATTTTCTTACCTGCCAGTTATATATATATATATATATATATATATATATATATATATATATATATATATATATATATATATATATTTATATATATATATATATATATATATATATATGTATATATATATATGTATATATATATATATATATGTATATATATATATATATATATATATATATATATATGTATATATATACGAATAGATATAGCTTACCCGACGACAAAATGAGAAACATGTCCATTTGTGTATATCGATGATTAATATCCAACCTTTTGTTCAAATAATTAACGTTTTTGCTTTACGCAAGACACAGCACTTTACGCAAGACAGACTGGGCGGGGAAGTCCTCAACCCCGACACGGCCCGTCCCAATGGCTGATAGGGAACGATTCTGTAGATATGCAGGACAGGTATGAATAAGGCTTAGCCAAATAAATACCCGCGGATCAACTGAGGACATGACACAGGTCAGCAGCTGTGTTATTAGTGGCCCGTGGCTGAGGAATAAAATTCCTGACAGGTGCGAAACCACAGAGTCGCATGCGGCAATCAAGTAGATTTAACCGGCTGTGATACTGCGAACACTCACCAACCCGTCTAGCAAGCGTGGTGTTTTAATGCCAATATACCCCTTAAAAACGCGATGTCACTTTTTAAAACAAATACAGATCTACCCCAGGTGAGTAGGATGCGTCCAGAATATCACACTGATTTATCAGTCTGTCCCAAGGATTCTGGGGGGGACAAAAAACTGACTATACGGAAACCCAAAAAACCCATAACTCTCTACGTTAGTACATACAATGCCAGAAGTTTACTGTCCGAGGAAAGATTCACTGAAATGGAAACTGAAATGAATAAAATAAAATGGGATGTCATAGGTATTAGCGAAGTTAGAATGAAAGGTGAAACTTTGAAAACACTCAAATCAGGGCATATATTCTATCAAATTGGTCCTGAAACTACGTCAGTTGCAGGCACCGGTTTCTTTGTCCATAAAAATCACGCGAACAAGATAATAAACATCAAAAGTATATCATCTAGAGTGGCATATCTTATTCTGAAGCTGAACAGTAGGTATCAACTTAAAATTATCCAAGTATACGCTCCAACAACAGACGATACAGACGAAGAAATTGAAATGTTTATGACGATGTATCCACTGCGCTTGATGATTCTCGTACTCAATTCACAATTTTATGTGGCGATTTCAACGCAAAAATAGGGGTAAAAGAAGCAGATCTAGAAACATCTTTAGGACAATTCGGTTTCTTAGGAAGAAATGATCGAGGAAAAAAGCTACTAGGATTCCTACTCCAGAATAACTTATTCAACATGAACAGCTTCTTTCACAAAAAGATGCACAGAAGATGAACTTGGGAAAGTCCAGACGGTAGAACAAGGAACGAAATCGACTACATCATAAGTAATCAAAAACAAATAATTAAAGATGTAACAGTACTCAACAAGTTCACCACAAACAGCGACCACAGGATGATACGAGCGAAAGTTCAAATCAATATAAAAAGAGAAAGGAATATAATGATTAAAAATAAATTTCATGGTATCTGGACACCCCCTTAGATATCAACCAATATCAGACACATATCAATAATAAGCTTCTATTGCAGGAAACCTCCGCTAACGATATTAACGACTTGAATAACTGCATCATAAACGCCTTAGAAAAAAGTCACCGAGTGCACTGTCCTAAAAGAAAATCAGATAGTAAAATAAGTCCATATACTGAAACGCTCTTGGATCAAAGAAGACAAATGAGAAGCGATAAGAATGCAGATAGCAACACTTTAAGAAAAATGAACAAAACTGTTTCGAAAGCAATTAGGAGAGATTTAAGAAAATTTAATACCGATTATATTAAACACACTATAGAGGAAAATAACAGCCTTAAAGTTCTACGTAGAAAGCTAACGAATGGGAAATGCGAAATTCATAAATTAAGAAACAAGCAAAATGAAATAATATCACGTAGAGACGAGTTAATACAGGTCGTCGAAGAGTTTTACGAATACTTATATAGAAGTAGACGAGAAGATAAAACAGGAATACAAACAGCCATTTCAAAAAAGATCAAGAATCAAGGTTCCGAACTAATGCCAGAGATAAAGCTAGATGAGATTCGACAAGCATTAAGAAAAATGAAAAATAACAAAGCCCCAGGAGAGGATGGAATCGTAATAGAAGCTATCGTAAATGGAGGAGATATGCTATTAAATAAATTAAGGAAACTATTCAATCTATGTTTGCAGCAAAGAGAGGTGCCCAAAGAGTGGAACAATGCTACAACCATCCTTTTGCATAAAAAAGGAGATAGAACAGACCTAGAAAATTATAGACC